GAAGAAGAAGAAGAAGAAGAAGAAGAAGAAGAAGAAGAAGAAGAAGAGAGTGTGGGTGAGGTGTCCCATTGAGCCGCTGATCAGATGAATTCTCGCAGAGTATGAGACTGTTTTGGGGACAGATCGCTGTGAAAGGATCCCAGACAGGTCCCAGACAGGTAGAGGCGTGGAGCGAGCGCACCCAGCCTTCCGCTGAGGCCCTCACTCCCAGACAGGTCCCAAAAGCTTTTGGCACCAACCATTTCAATCCGAGTTCCCATCCGGGCGACCCGACCGGCGAGTCGGTCGATGTCGGTCGCCCGGAGGGTCCGACCGAAAAGGATGGGTCTTCAGACTGGTCGGGTGGTGCTGGTAGTACTATGTAGTACTGGTCGGTTGATCCATTGGAATCCATTTGATTCTGTTTGATTTAGGGCCTACCCCCCGCAGTGGTGTGGAAACAGGATACTGTACCCCCCGTCGATGGAGTGCCGATTCCCAGCCTTCGCTCCCCGGCATCGACTCGCAGGTGACGCTGCAGCTCTCCACGTCCAGCACGGTGGAGGAGCTCCTGAACTCGACCCGCGAGGCGTTGGGCGGCTCGAGCCGGGCGCGGGGGCGCTTGCTCTTCCGCATGCGGCCGCTCAAGGATCTGGAGGCCGATCTCTGGTCCGGAACGGCTTGGGGCGAAGAAAGGGCACGTGAGGAGCGCAGTTTCGGCACGGGTTGAATGTCGAGAGCGTGTTTGATGTCGATCTATGTGAGGTTCGGTACCCGGGCATGCTAACGGGGCATACCTCTTTGATCCTCTTGGGTTCCTTGATGATAATGTATGTTGATCCTCCCGTGCTCCAACTGGCGGCCCTACAAAAAACTGTATAAGACACTCAGCGTATAATGATTGATCCTGATCCCAGTGCTGGCTGGGTAGACTATGGTCTTGTTTTCCGGCGACCGACCTCCCTAAAGGGGGGTCGGACTTCGTTTGGGTCGAGGTCTTCGTTGAAACCGTTGAGGTTCGCGCCCCTTTGCCACCCCCAACCCGCCAGGCCACCTTGGAGATGTGCGGCGTGCATCGTGACCCGTCTGGACTTCATTTCCTCATGGAGCGCAAGCATCGGCCGCAAGAGGTCGTGCAGAAGGCCCCCACGCTTCCGCTCGTCCAAAGCTGGGGTCCAGGGACCGTCGCCTTGGTGTGAACCCGCTTCATCCGCTGCCACCAGCTCACGGTGGTGGACTCTCCGAAGGCCGTTCGATCGGGTGCCCGGCCAGCTCGGACGGTCGACCCATGGTGGGCTTCTGGTGGCAAAGAGGGACTGTGCCATGATGTGAGGGATGCCGTGGGTGGGATGCCGTGGGATGCCCATGGAGCGTGCTGTAGAACTCAAGCATCGGAAGAAGACGTCCGCGACGGTGTCACTTCGTAGCTTCCCCTGGTCCGAGACGACGGATCGATCAATCCTGGAAGATCCTGAGGGATCACTTCGACGGATGGGTCCCATGATGTCGCCATGAATTCCCAAGCTGTGCCAATGAATGGTCACCATGTGGGTGATTCGTCCCGTCCGAATTCGTTCTCCCCAGTCGTCCGCCCCAACCTGATCCACCCAGACAGCTATGGAAAAAAGAACCGATCCACCACTCAATGGGGCTGATTGAGAGATGCCGGATCTAATGGACCTCACCAAACACCATTCCCCTGGCCCACCATTCCCCTCGCCCGGCTTCCTGGCCCACCATTCATTGAATAGGCTGAATCCACCTGAATCCCAAATCAACTATTAACAGGGTTTTACACTACAAACACCAGGTCGTTCCCATTTCTTTCGGGATTCCTTTCGGGCGTCGGGCGTCGGGGCCGCCAGGCTCACCTTGAGGCCCAGGAGCTCTCAGTGGCCATGGCATTGGCGGCCGCCGAGGCCAACGCGCGGCCCAAGCGGCGGAAGAAGAAGGTCGTGGAGGAGGTCGACGTGGCGGAGGAGGTCGAAGAACTCAGCTGAGGAGGTCGAAGGCTCACAGATTCCGTTCTTCTTGGACCCCATCCAACATGCTCTCACCACCTCAAATGTAGGCAAAGAACGTGCAAATCACGTGCCAATCCCATGCAGTGTTTGGGTTTGCAGACCTCCACCCGCCGGAAACCGCCGGAAAAAACCACTGCAGATCACTGCAGCCTGCGCCGGTTCAGCGGGGTGACTCCGGCGGAACCTGGAGAGGTGGCTTCATCCGTGACCCGCGAACACCCAGAACCGACTTCGCCAAGGAGGCCAAATACCAATTTGGTATGTCCTAAAGCCTAAAGCTGAGGCGTTCACATGCTTCAGGACCCAGCAGTAATATTGAGACCCACCAGTTCCCAAACCATGGTGCCCAGGTGAGAACCGTCAAACACCTCACGTCCGCCCCACCGAAACCATGTGCCCTTCGCTGGGTTCCGCAACCGGCGCCCGTTTAGAGAGTTGGCCGTTCAAGCCTTCCGCTCGGCTTCGTTGGGCACCGGCCCAGCAACCTCCGGGGGTCAAGAGATGCACCGCCCAAGAGAGGACTCCGGGCGAGTGCGCGCGGACCGAGACGGCGTCCAAGTTGTGAAAACATGGACCGAGGCATGGACCATTGAAAGAGCATATTAAAGGCATGTAGAGACATGCTAATCACGAGATGTCGACATAATACGTCCACATTATATGTCCAACATGATGTCCAACATGACATGAGCTTTCTATCAAAAGAAACAGGGCACGTCCTCGGATGAAGCTGTGTTTCGCCAGCCACGACCGGAATGGTCAAAGACCACTCCAGACAGAGAGTCAGAATTACCAGCAAGTCGCAGGAACAAACGAAAAAGGGCGGTATAGTACGTTTGTCGTTATGTTGGCCATCCCGCTTAATTAGTTTGGGGCTTCCAATATCTCGTAGTCATCGACCGTCGAAGCGCGTTTCGACGTTCAATTCGGCCAGGCTTGAAACGGTCGGCGTTTCGCTTTTCGATGGAGTGCTGTTCAGGCTGAGAGAGAGCCGGCAGGGGCTCTCGCGCCAGGGCGGCACGAGAAACCTCCCAAACAGTAAACCACTAAAACCCATAGGCCCAACCAAGCCATTCGCGCTTAGCGTGACACTGTTAATTACGCTCTGAGTTTTCAGCGCCAGGGGCGGGCCCAAGTCCGGGTATTGCACCGCCGCCGCTTGGCCTTTTGGGCCTCCCTTTTCGGCTCAGGACGTGGACACTCACGCCATCCGGTAACTAACTGATCTCCGTGGGGAGCGTGCTTCCCCGGCGAGGAGGTTCAAACTAGAATCCATCGCAATGTTTTTTTGGCAGAGGTCCATGATGCAAGTGGATGTGGATGTTACATGATGTTACCACGAAAAGTGAACAGAACGCTGGGAAGACCCTCCCCAGAGCAATGATCTATCCCATCCAAAGGCCGGCTCATGTGTTCAGATCTCAGCGGCTGCATGTTCCTGTATCTTTCAACTATTTCGGCCTTCTGGCTACGTTTTGTATGGATGAAAGCCATGAAAACATCAGAAAAGGCTTCCAGATCGACCCGCGCCTCGCAGGTTCTTCGGCGCTGCCCTCGCGGTCTGCCTGGTGCCCGTGGCGGGGCAGTGCGAGAGCGTGAGCTGTGAGCGGCAACCGCCGCAGCGCTCCAAAGGTGGCGAAGAAGCGAATCCGCGTGGGTGAAACGGATCCAATCGACTTTCTCCACGGATTCCATCCAACATGGAACACCAAAAAGGTGTAACAGTTCGTGTAACATGAGGCATTTGAGGTCACTGGTCACTGCCGGTCACTGTGTCACTGACCAATTCCTCGGCGCATGATTGGGCGCCCGGAAGAAATCAGAAGAATTAATGACCATTGATGACTTTTGTTTTGGGAAATGCCGCCGAACTTCAGAGCCAAAGGTTTACCTTGGCCTTGCCCAGGTGCCAGCACTGCCAGTGCTGCCAGGTCCATTTTGTTGCTCCAGAGAAGCACCGCATGGAGGTCTTTGGGATGGCAGGGGCCACAGTGCACGAGCGAGTACATGAGCACTGATGCAGAGAGTGGAACTTGGTGCACTGCACGGTACGTGCGTTTTTTGTTACTAGTAGCGATGCCCTTCGACGTGAGGAGGGGCTCCAATTCAAGCCTCTTGGTTGAAGATGGTTTGTCAATCCATGCGTGTCGATGGAAGTGGAGCTCAAAGTGCATGAATGAACAAAAGCCACTTGGGGACCAGTGGAAGTGCATGGAACTAGGTGACAAATTCTATGTTTGTCACTGCAGGCTTTGTTCCATGTACTTTGAAACCATATGCAGCCTACCAAAGTTTCGACATGTGCTGAAGAAGGAGTATTGAACATGGGTTGGAACGAATGTCCTACCCCGCAGCTGTGGTCTTGCTGCTCACCAGCGTTAGTGGTCATGGCTGAGCATCCAATGCTTCTCATCTATCACATCCCAACACCACAATTAATCTTCTTCTCGAGTCATGTGCATCCGTGTGCGAACGTGCCTGTGTTCAACCCTACCCGGGAAACAGTGGATGACCTGGTTATAGCCATTTGTTTCAAGAAAAGCATACCCGTCTGGAAGTCCATACTTTTTTCCCAGACGTCAGGGACATTTTATTATTATGATTTTTTCTCGCACCGAACCTCAGTCACAGGATTCCAAAAAAAACACCAAAAAATTATAGGACATGCAATTCCAATGTTGACGCAGGAAAAAAATAAGAGATATTGAAAAAACAAATCATTGGGAATTCCTAGAAGGATGGAATGGTTCAGCACAGGATTTCATAACAGTTTCATTGCCTCTCCTGTAACAATAGAGTAAGGTCTGACCCAGGAATTTAATATGTTGGTTGGTCTAGAGTCTAGCAAGGATGCTTTTTTTGGAATCCTGTGCCGACGCAAGGCGAACCTCCGAAGTCGATCAACCGATCAACATGGTTGTTTGCACAAGATTTCTAAAAGCACACACTCAGAGAGATCATCGACCGATTCCAACAGTAGACTCTGCCAGTCCTCGGCGCTAGCGCGGATCTAGCGCCAGCCTAGCGCAAAAATCTCCGTCAATTTCTTTATCCTGTCAGATTCTTATTTTTCCTGCTTGCTTGTATTCTTCTTGTTGTGCATTATTCTTCTTCTTGGCTTTTCTTTTTTCTTGTCGTGCTTCTTCTGTTTCCTGCTCTCTGCGTGTTTCTTCTTTTTCCTGCTTGCTATCCTGTTATGAAACCTAGCGCCAACCTAGCGCCAATCCTTGTCCTTCCTCAGGTCCTGCAAGATTGCAAGACAATGGTGGAGAAGATGGGGGCCTCTGTTCGTACCGAATCTTTTACAGGCTTCAGCCAGAATTCCATAAATGACGGCGCTTGTTTTGGAAAATGCTGGAACTAAAAAATTAGGAGGTTAGAACACGCAGGCGACGGAAAGAGGGTCCTGCCCAACCGCAGCTTGCAGCTCTGTCTTCTCTTCCAACTTCGCATCCTAAGCCAGGTGTAAAAAATAGATCCTTGACTTCTATTTCCAAACCAACCCGAGACTTCTAACGTCCCAAAGCACCAGAATGACCTATATCGAGTTCTTTCCATGAAGGACCAAAACTCTATATAGTTGAATCTTCCTCAACCAAGTAAACTTCCCTCATCGTAGCCAAACTCGTGAAGGACAAATATACAAGGACAGAACTTCTCCCACCTGCGAAACACCGGTCGATGGCTCCATCTTCGCCTGAGGATATGGAAAGAAATACACTGACCAGCGTCCCAAAACAGAATCGCAGATCTTCAGGAACCACGTTCGAGAAAAAAGTCTTTGACTCCTGATCTCCTGTATGCCCGTGGGTGCTCCAGGTGGGGCTGGCAACCTACTGAGATTGTGGATGTTTATGAAATCCTGCGGTCAACCTGTGCCGGAGAAACATCCAAGAACATAGTGTGATACCAGGCAGGTATTTTCTACTTTTTTCCTGGATCAACCCTCCCGAAAGAGACGTCTAAAAAAGCAGGCCTCGGCGCTTGAGCCGGTTGAAGCCTTGACCTGTGCCCGGAGAATGTTAAAGAATGGGAGTGGATTTAGGGCCTCCAACCTACTAGCGATGGCCTCCACCTAGAAGCGTTCTTTTGAAAAATAACACAAAGAATGAGAGTGGCTTTGGTTCCGTTGTGAGGACAAGGAGGGCAGGGACACCCCTGAACCAGGACTTTAATATGCCAGGATGTTTGTTACACATGAGCTTCTTCAACCTCTGTACTAGGATTCCATAAAACAGGTTGACGCAGGATTCCATAAATGCTCAAAACCCTCAATTTTTTTTTGGCTGCCAACCTTGGCACACAAAAAAATAAAGGAATGACCTCAGCCCGAAAGGATTTTATAAAATAAAATCCTGCGTCAAACCTTTAGCGTACCTTCGAACGGGTATAAAAGCTTAGGGAGTCAACGGGAGCCCGGCACTGGAAGCCCCTAGCCGCTCTAGCCGCTCTAACCGCTCTAGCCCTCGACCTTGAAAAGAAGGGGGTGTACCTGCTGGTCTTGGTGTAAAGATCCTGAGTGAAACCATGGTTCCTTTGGGATTCAAACCATTAAAATCATTAAAACAAAAAAAGAACTTGTTCGGTGAACTCAGGCCATAGCGCTTGGGATGGTTGCTCCAGAATCTTGGGATGTTGAAGCCGAAGACGCGTCGAAGCGAACGAAAGACGGGGGTGGATGAAGCAGCTGACTTCAGGACACGCCCTGAAGTACCACGTTTGCTGGGACCCCCCGTGACCCTTACACTTCCAATCCCGTATGCGTGCCATGTCCACACGTGGAGCCTTCGTGAGTGCCTTCGTGGTTGAAGGCTTAGATATTTGCACTGTATAATTGTATTTATATATATATATATATGGTCCAGTATATGGTCCATAGTGCGTACATTACTATATACTTTACCCAGGGCATCCAGTTACCACTATAGCTGGTAACCAGTGGATTCCAGTTCGACTAAAACCATAGACCGGTTCCGAATCTCTGGTTCCTTACTACCAGTGGTTTGCCTGGGATGCACTGGGTTAAACAACATTGTTTGGCAACGACGGGTTTGGACCTTCACCTGGAATGCCTTTTCTCAGGAACGCCTTGCTCCGCCAGGGCCGGAGGACACCTGAACTCCTCCGGTGGGGAGCGCGGTTTTGGGAGACGAATCGAAGAGGGAGACCTGTGCTTCGACGTGTTGGAAGGGAAGATGGATCTTCAGATGGACAAGATGTTAACTTATTGGCACCAGATCTTGAAGTGAAGATCCTTCCGGAAGTTGCTGAAGATGGGTCAACATCGTAAAAGAAGGCAAAACACCATTCTTTACTTAAATGGATCACTGGGACCGTTGTTTTCTTTTTTCTCTTTTTGGCAGCTGCGTGGATCGAAACCCAACAAAACCAGCGCGGAGAGGTGCCGAACGGCCAAGCTTGAAGATCTTCAAGAGGTGGGAGTCTGTCCCACCGGAGAGGCTCGGAACCTCAGCCCGTGTGGCGGTCTTGGACGAACGAAACAGGCAGAACACCAGTGGAGTGTACCAGGGCCTGAAAAAGGGTGGTTAATGGACACCCCGAATCACGGCTAAGGGGCGAACAAAATAGACACCCCGACAGGAGGGTCCTGGTATATATAGCACTCCTGAAAATCATCCATGGCGACGTGGATGGAACAAATTCGTTGGATTGACTCGATCAGAAGACCCAACGGGTGGTGGCCATCCACTTCCAGGAATTCAGTGGATGGAGAAGTTCGATGGCACTGGCACCCCATGTCTTTGGTACGTATGCACCAAACTTGGGGGCCCAGACGTGCCATTGGTCCTCTCAACCCACGATATGTTCTGAGGAGTCTACAGTCTATATATAGTAGTCTGTTCAGAACGGCTCCGAACGGTGTGGACCCTCGCCATGTCCAAGCCGCAGAATGCTTTGGAATCCTTCAGATGGATGGCAGATGTTTCGACCATGCCAAGAGAACACCTGACAACTACCTAAAAAGAAAGAGAAGGTGCCAAGGAATGTCTCAAGAAGGCCGCGATTCCGACCATCCGCCCGGGGTTCCCGACGGGTTCCCGTCGTCGACCGCCCTAAGAAGGTGCGCGGGCACCGTGCGTAGTGTCGAGCGCAGACAAAGGATACAAAGGGGGCGGGAGTCGGAGCGATAGTGTATGTTGTTGGGATTGTCTTTTAGGTTTCTTTCAGGCCTTAGTTCTGAGCCACGAATGAGACTGGATTGCAATGGCAGTTTCTATAGACGTTGGACGGCATTTATACGCATTAATCGCATGCTGCGCATCCATGACGCGATGCTGGGGGATGCCGTTTTGTGTGATGTGATGGTGAACGGCGCGCCCAGGACTGTGCGAAAGCGGCGAACAACTCTAGTGCAGTCACTTCAAGAAGTCTTCCAGTCCGCCGCTTGACGTGCGTGGGCCGCGACGCAAAGCTTCGCTAGGTAGGTCCAATGGAAGTTTTTTTCACAGTGTGCATACAGGGTCCGAACGTTCAGGTGTCTCAACCTGTCAACCGGAGGAATTTTTGGACCATCGTGGACTACATCAATTTGAGGTTTCTGACATTTGCCTCCTTGGACCTCCTCTCGTTTCGTTCTCGCGCGGGGCCGGGGACGCACGGCTTCCGCGTGGGTGTCGGAGTGGGGTAGAGTAGTTCGGTGGGGCGAGGGAACCCCCTCCGCCCTCTCAGGAGAATGCGTCACAGCCGATTGGCGAGCCCCTGAGTGAACAGGATGTCGACCAGATGGATGTGGACTACAGCAGCGAGGAGGACGGACGGATCCGACAGAGAGATTCACCGAGGGATCTGTTCTTTTTTTTGCGAGGCTGGCGGTGTATAGATAGATGCGTGTGAAGTGATATGTGAAGAGAAGAGACGAAAGCCATCCAGTGGCACGTTTATTTTCTGCTGAAGCAGGATCAGAAGAGGTGGAGCAAGCTCCTTCCATTGGAGCTTCATCTAGCAGGTGGGGTGCATTTCGACACACCATGACTCATCACACAGCTGAACGACCAGTTCGCCGCCAACCTCCGACCGGTTCCGACCTCGACACGCCCGGTTCCGCCCTTCGGACCGACGAGGATCGACTCGCTCTTCGGAGGGAAGGGGATGGAAAGTGGGTGGGGTCGATCCTGCCGCGAGGTGTGACCTTGGCGAAGGTCTTGGATGACTACGCAGATGAGAAGTCTTCAGGTGCGGTGTGGTCTTCAGCAGACACGTGACCGACCGGTGTGAAGACGAAGAACGCCCAGACGTGAATCGGGATTGGAGCTTCAGAGCTTGAATCACTAGAGATCTTCAATAGGATTTTCATCATGGCGCCGACAACGCATAAACATGCATAAACATGAAGGGTCGACTGCCTCTTGCTTCTTCATCTCATGCGCCACTTTCCGCCCGAAGGCTTCCGGAACACCGGACGACTGCGACTCTCTGCCCAGGGGAGCTCCTGGGGCCTTCCGGCGTCCGGTCCCTGGCGTCCTTGCTGCTGCTCTTTCGCCAGGAGCTTGCGCAGGCGCGGGGAGACCGGCGGTGTCCACCCGGCGCTGGCGGTGTCCACCCGGCGCGGGCGGTGTGAGCGTATAGGTGGTTGGCCAGCGCGGTTTGTGTCTTGCGGGCGCGAGGGAGTGGGAGCGCCTGGAGATGCCGTCTCGCGCCTTGCGCCATCTTTAGACCTGTTTGGGGGTAGTCGTGTTCATTTTCATAGGTAGACCCCCTGGCCCCATGGGATGTTTAGTCCATTTCCCTTCTTCCAAGGGGTCGAACTGCGAGGTCTCCCTGTTTTAATGCACGTACTGATCAAGGATTTCCAGGTGTTTGCCGCTCGGGCTTTGATGTTTGTGGTGTTTGGGATGCCACGGACGCTTCATCCCATCCGAGGGTCAACGGAGGATCGACAGAGGGATAGGCTGGTGCCTTCGGTGGCGATCATGACCATCAATCAGAGTTTGGTTACCCTTGAGCGAATGCAAGGTGGAAAAATGGATGGAGCATGGCCCCCCTATTTGGGGCGATCACTTAGCCTCTACAAACAGGTCGTTGGTTCCTGACCCACTTCCCCCGATCTCCCGATGAATGTCAGGATCGAACGAATGTCCTCATCCAATGGACGAATCACCGAGCGCTGCTCGATGCGCCTCGAGGCCTGCAAGGTCCATCGGAAGAAGATCCTCATGCGGCTTGGGCTTCGAACGCTCTTGGAGGGGGGTTTGGCTGAAAACGCTGACGCTGCTGACCAACGCGCCGGTGTTCTCGTGAAGCCACCTCCCGCGATGTCCGCTTTGATATGCTTTGATACCCAGACACGACCTGTCTGGGACTGCCATATATATGCCGCCCCATTGACCCTCAAAATCACCCCAACTGATCGGCATATATGGCAGTCCTACGGAGTGTTTGGGATATGTTGGGTCACGATGCTCCTTCATGTTCTTCAGTATGTTCTTCCTAACTCTACGCAGCGTGCGTCCCCCTAGATCACTGACCGCGCCAAAGTGAGTGGCAGGTGGCGACACGAGTGAAATCGTAACCTCACCCTCCTTCACAAAGGCTCGAGTTAGGGCAAAAAGGAAGAGAGGACTTTCCTTAATACAGTATTACAATAATAGGTTCTTTTCCAAATTGCATGGTCTTGCATGTGTGAATCATTGAATTTCAACCTCCTATATAGGACGCCACACCGTCCCCATTATGAATCGAATCAACGAGTTGCTGAGCAGAGGACGGCTCCGTGGGTCCTCGTTGCCCAGAACGTGCGTAAGTTCCACTCGTTCCGCCGCGGGGGCGTGCGAAGCCAGGAACGCCATCTTTGGGCGCTTTCTGCGAGCAAGCTCCAGCTCCATCTTGAAGTCGACCAGTGGCCCCTTGGCCTGGCGCTGTGAGAGAGGAAGGAGCCGGAACAGAGGGACGGCCTGGCTAAGGCCATGTCGGCCGCGAGACATCGGCACACGGCCGGGATCGCAGGCACCCAAATGAGATTGTCACCAAATACAGATTCCAAAGGCGGCCAGGTGACGCGGGTGATGTGAAGTTGGGAGAAAGAACCAGCTGACCAGCTGTTTCCACGCGAACTTCGTGGGTGGCCTCCACTGAATTCGAGCAGTCCATACTGGCCTGTCAAACCAGGCAGGTTCCCACACGACTTCCTCCCGACTCCTGCACCACTCGAGGTATCTATCCAATCGATGCTGGACGTGCGAGCTTAGTGAGCACCGTGGTGCCCTTTAACGAGCGACTGGGAGAAGAGGCGTGGAGCGACTGAGCGGAGAGAGACATCGGTAAAGGCAGCCAAGGACGCCAAGAAGGAACACCAAGCACATCCAGCGCATCCTTTGGCTGAAGTTTCCCAAAACAAGCGGAGGTTGTTGCTGGGGGATCGTGATCGTCAGCGGCAGAGGCCTGAAAAGCTTCAGATCGGCCACTGAATGCGGCAGGGCCCTTCAGCTTACGGACCTTTTCAGGAACCAATCGCCATCGAAACGCCCTGGCCCATGCCTCCCCAAACGACCTCGGAACCTTCAGCTTCCGGCCCTAGCTCCTGGAGACCTCGCCTCCGAAACCGCGCGGAATTGCAGGTGGTGGTGCGCTTCTTCGTGCAGCCGCGCGGCGATGGTGATGACTTCGAATCCTTGGTGAACTCGCTGCAAGACCAGCCCCTTGGGCGTTCCGAACTGGTCGACTCCGGGTCGCGACGGACCTCCGGAGGTCGGGACCTCCGACCCGCTTTCCGTGTGAAGACGGAGTGAAGACGGTGCCGGGCGGGCGCAACCGACGAGCTGTTCGGACTGAATGGACTGCTCGGCTGTTCGACTCCATCGGGTCACCCAGTGCCGGCCTTCGCGGGTAGAGCGACGGGGCGGTCGGGGGCCGTCCGAGCTCGGAGAGGCTAGGAGGGATGGTGCGCTAGATCGGAGGTTTGGCCCGGAGAGGCTAGGAGTGGACTGGGCTACAGAAGGCAGCCAGCTTATGCCAGCTTATACCTGAGCTGAATGTTTATTTTTTCCCGAAGGGTGCCATGGTTTTGTCCCAAGAATGCTCAAAAGACCTTATCCACACCTCCCAGACATGTCTCGAATCTCGGATCGACCACGCATGCACTTGGACCGACCTGATCGCGCGCGAGCGCGCCGAGGCTGAGCGATAGCAACAGCACTCTGATGAAAGGAAACCTTTCCGAAGCTTGGCTGCCTGTTAGGTGTGGTTCCTTGGATCCTGGGTTCGTCCGGGCCCGCGCGTTGGAAGCAGCGCCTTCCGACAGAGGCGCTGTTGAAGCACGCGTCGCTGACCACGGGCTATCAGGCCAGTGACTAGGGCGGAGCATGAAGAGTTTCGCAATGAGCTTTGCGGCTATGAGCTTTGCATGATGCATTCAGATCCGGAGAAGCCCCGCTCCAATGCACAGGATCCCCAGTCTTCATGTATTGCCTGAATCTTCCAACGATCACCCAAAAGGTCGGGCTTTTCATCTAAATCTAAGTACAGCCAAGAGGCAAACGCATAGTATGGTGTACCAGGCCTCAGGTATGGTGTACCGATGCTGCCGATGCTGCTGGTATTGGCAGGTCGGAATCGGATCCGTCACACCGGCAGGACGTCTCGGGCTTCACAACCATCCCAATGGCAGCTTGCTCCAGGAAGGGGAAGGGGGGGGGAACCCAAGCCCCTGTTTCAGGACCCATCTCGTAGCCTTTCTTGTGCTTCTGAAGTGCGTTCATGGCCATGCCATCCACTTGACCAAACCGATTCTTCCATCACCGGAAGACCTTCGCGACAGGGCGCCCTCGTTCGATGGATCGTCCGACCGGTCGTCCCGGTCGGCTTCGACGTCGGTCTTTTGGGACGACCGGAGCCGTGGACGAAGGCATGGAGAGGTCGGGGTGGACGGAAGAAACGAAGGCATCTCAGCTCGTTTTCTTTGGCGTTTTTTTGGGGCAGTGGGGTGCTCAGGCTTGTCACCATGCAGAGGCCCGACCAGAACGTCCACTCTAAATGGGAGCTTGCTTTACCCCAGAGCTTTCTGGGGACATTCTTCTGAACACCGACTAAGGAGAAGCTTTCCAACTTGGCACTGCCTTTTGCCATCTCTGCGCTGTTCACTGGAATTCTCATTTGGCTTGCTGGCTGACGACAGAAAAAAGATGTGCCCGAATCGCTTCTCCTGACGTTCTCGTGCCGTTTCATCATGCGAAGACCCAGTGGACCGTGGGGAGACTGCCAGCCGCCAGGAGCGCCGTTTGGCGCAGACACAGCTGGACGTGGCTCGAAGGCGGGAGGCTATGCAGGAAGTAGCAGAAGGTTGTCGCAAATGGCAGCAGGGGTATATTGTCATGAGAGGTGAGTACCGGACACCCAGGACGCCAGAACTAGCAGCAGATTTGACTTGGGGCCTCTATAGGGCCTATGCCAAGCACCACTAGCTAGCGCCAAGACCAAATCCAGCGAAGATGGAGGCCATGTTCACCGTTCCCATCATATCCATTCATATCTATAGAATGAGGAGGGGCAACTCTCCCAGGGACCCAAGATCCGTCCTTTTCGACCCGTCACTTGGACCCGTCGTTCGACCGGTCCGCAGGGAGCTGCAAGAGAAGGAAGAGGCACGGCACGGCCCATCCTGCGCCTCCGCGTTCCGCATACGACCTGGATCGTCCCATCTTGCAAACAGGTCGGTCAAATGGCATCCGCTGAGGTTATCCAATCATGAAATGAATTCACATAGAAAAATACTTGGCCAAGCATGCTCGTGTGTTTGCATTCATCTAGGGATTTCTAAAGCCAGCCAACCGTATAGGCAGACAACGAATCGGTTTCAGGATCCAGGTCCTTCAACGAATCAAGTCAGGGCCGTAGCACTGCAGCCGTGGGCCATGGGTGAATCCACCTGAGCGGGCCATGGGCCGGCCATGTGAGGCGTGAAAGAACCCGCAACTGGCACTGCGTGTTCTCAGCAGGTGCTTGTGGCCTTCAAAGCTCCACCAGACTTGGGTGTTTGATGATGCCATGCTATGACCACATCTAATGACCAACCACCTAACCACCTTCCGGACACCCCCAACAGGGGGTGATTCGTGTTTTCTTGTCTCCTCTTTCCGCACTCCAAAGGTCCTCCTTTTTGGTTTCTGATGCTTCGGCTCCCAAATCCCTGCCGGCCGCCGGAGTACTCCTCGTCTCGCAGGAACTGAGGAACGAGCAGGACGTCCTGGCGCAACGTCGCCAAGCCGCACGACGCTCCGTGGAGGCCCCGGACGCAAACTCCCAAACCGACCGCACGGACGCCAACTCCCGCGTCGGGCGGGCGGGCGCCGGTTCCATGCAGTTTGGGGTTCTGGCTGATGATTTTAAGGTGCTTCAGAAGACCAAGTACACTGCAGCACACCTATAGGATCACCGTAGGACACCCGGGTCGCCGTCCCAGACTTCCGTCGACGGGGGTGGCCGTTGGTGTGCTTTCGGCTTTGCCAGCCTGTTCTGCTGCTGGAATCAAGCAGGATCCTTTTCGTTTCACAGTCCGACCTCCACCGTGTCACGCCGAAAGAAAAACAGAGGGGCCCCCAATCCGTTCCCTGAGGTTGGTTCAGTTGCGGGTTCGGTTGACCGTGGCAGGTCCTCAAAGGCAAGCTGAAGGCTGGGGGAGACCCAGTGCTTGAAGTGACGGGTACTCACTCTTTGGGTCCGCACCGGGAATCTGCAGGACTTGAAGTAGAAACATCTGACCATCTGGCAGAAAAGTATAGAAACACCTGCGCGCTTATACTTTTCAGAATGTTCAATGTTCTTTTGGACGTGTTGTATGATGTTGTGTGTTCGAACATTTTTGTTGATCTTCCAGCGGTGTCCATTTTCATTCCTTTTGCACCATTCGTTTCATGCGGCTGGTTCGGATCCCTGCGGCTTGCGAAGATGTTGTTGAATTCATGTGTGTGTTTTTTCTCGTGGGGTTGTTTAAAGGCCTTATATATAGTAGGCCTTATATTATATAAATGACTATAATAAACAATGGATATAGTGTACACTATGCATTATTCGGGCCCCTTTTTGTCCATTTTATCCTTTTTATCTCCTTCTTGTTGTGTCACCCTTGCCCCTCACGTGAGGGGCGCCCCTCGCCGAGGCGCTGTGGTGGGCCTTGGAGCGCTGAGTCGGCCAAAAGAGAGTCATCACCGCGCGTCGCGGCTGCGCGACGAGCAGAGTCGAAGTCCGGGCAGGTAGGAGTGGCGGTTTCGTTGGGAAAGCCTCCAGCACTGGAGTCCATGACTGGCGTCGAGTTGGGCGATGAGTTCCGGGTAAAGGGGTGCACGCTACTGTGACGAGATCGATCCCAGATCGCGTGAGGTGGGTGAAAAGCGACGATGTCTTAACATGCCAGAATTGCATGGAGCGTCTCTTCATGCCCTCATTGTTCGCATCTCTTCGGCGCCGGAAGAGACATGCACAGCGTTCTCCCAAGAAGATGGAGGCTTTGCTGAGCATTGATCAGGATATTCGGTGTGTCAAACTTTGCCAATTTCAGCGACATCTCGCCTTATCAGTAGCAAAGAGTGGTGCCTGGTGACAGACAGCTGTCAGACAGCAGCATGACATAGCGACTTTTCTTGCCGGTAACAAGTTTCGTTCTTCTCTTTGCATCTCACATACTTTATAAGTCATCAGTATATAGTGACATAAGAGCTATGCCAATCTCAAGTGCTACAGACCTTTGAAACCAGATAGATGGAAGATGATGCAACAACAATCAACTGAATAATATATTTCAATATTATTTGCCGGTCTCAGACCTTCTGGATGATGCCGCAGCATCCAAGTTAGCATCGACCTCAATGGAGATGGGACACGAATGGAAACGACATGAAACGGCCTCATGCCATGCTCCGTGTCTTCGCCTTTTGCCATGCTCTCGTGGCCTTTTGAATCGGCCATCCCCAAAAAGTCACGGACCGTGGGGAAGATTTGACGACAGGTCCACATCTAATATTAAAATTCACTGTAGAACCCATGATTTTTATCATTCATGGCGTATCTTCATGATAATATTTGTCATTGTCAATATGTTCTTCTTATCAGCATTAAACCTTTGTTTTACTAAACTGCCAAGGATTCTGGCGGACCTTTCTCCGAAGTAGGACGACTGTCGGCGTCCAGGCCTGTTCTCCCGCCAGGCGCAATTCGCCAGGCGCCAGCAGAGAGAGTTTTCCGCGTTCGTGGTGTTGTGAGTGTTTGTCAAAGACCGTTGAACATCTCGTCCTTCTGACGTCGTGCATGTTTTTGGTGTCGTGCATGTTTTCGGGTCCTGTCGCCCAGCGTGGTGGGACCGCTTTTTCTCGTCCGACCCCGGCGTCGACCGCTGGTTCAAGTGCTGCGTCGACCGGTGTCCTGCGACGAAGGAGCCCCGTGAAGGCGCCTGGTGATGGAGGTCTCATCATCATCCTTGCCCAGTGGTCGAGAAGCCAGCCATGGCAGCAGCAGGAGGAATCAAATGCTACATGTGGCTGGAAGCTTTCTGCATTCTGACCACGAGATCAAAGCCGCATCAGCGATCGCCAAGCTTAAGGAGTTCATGAATAGCGCGTACTTAGCGAACTTCATGGCGGTCGTTGTCCTGGTGGATGCATATTGCACCTGCAGGGACATTGATGCGACAGCTGCACAGGAACAAGCGCCGGAGATTCTCAACATCATCTCGGATTTGTGCTTGGCCGCTTGCCGCACCAGTTTCGAACTCGTGTTTTGCTTTCCTCTTGTCATTTACCTCACCTGGCCGCTTGTGCGATCTGGTTCGCGGCGTTTGTTTCGTGCGTTGCCTGGCCCATCATGTAGACTCTTGATCATGATCAATACAACCTCCCTTTGGGATTGCAAAGCCTCTTCACACATACTACGTTCATCGTTCAATATATATATGATATGATATATACGACGTTGTATGACTTAATTAACGTAATTAAGACAAAAATGAATCAAGAGTCTCTGAGTCTACTATAAGCTCCCCTCAACGTATCAACCTCCAGACCGCCGGAACCCGGAAAGCCCTTCGAGGCGGAGACGTCGGTTTCGTTTGGGTGACCGTCCGGTTTGACCCGCCCTTTAGGCGATCTACTCGTTGGAGGTGCTCGGATGGCTTGGGCTCTTTGGAATTGGGATCTTGAGGCGGGAATTCTACGACGTTTGGTTTCGAAACGTTCAGGTCATGCTGGAGCCACAGCGATTGGCCAACAGACAAGGGCAGAAAAAAGACATGTTTCTGAGATTCTTCTTCATTCATGCACTGGTCACATTTGGGTCATTTCATTGAGATTCATGTGGGCGGGTCAGGTAGCTATCTGAATTGAACTGATCTAGTAGGTTGTAATTATAGTTGAGTCAGGAGCAATGTAATGATTATATACATATAATATATATTGCACCTCACTGCTAGGTGCTCCTTGAAGTGGGGAAATTGAGGGTGTCGGAGATGCCGGCGATAAAGAACTCTAAAACTCGACCACTGGTAGGGTCGACGTCGCAAATAGTGGGTTGACTATAGGTAGGGACGGACGCAGAGGCGGTCTGTTGGTGGGGGGGTGGTGATCGTGGCAGTGGTGGCTGTGGTGCTGGACGTTGTGTGGATGTTTGCAAAACCGCTGCGGATGGTTCTGAGATTTGAAGCGGAAGTGGAAGTCTTTGCACTCTAAGTCCGGCCATGTTTTGATTTTTTTGCGTGTTTTCTTGCTTACATGCGGTTGCATGGCTTGGCATATCTTGGCATAGTTTAAGCTGTTTGGTCCAAGGTTGCTGAGAAGGATGTGATGAGACATGTGCAAATGGTGCAAAGAATTGCTTCAAGGGCATGTTACAGCGAATATGTTGTCAGCTTGCTTTTCTCTGTGAATCATACGTCAATCAGCTCTGCGTCGTTGCAAACATCGCTCGGGGTTCTCCCTAGCCGACCGACATGTCGCACCCACAACACATCTTCCCATCCGGCATGGCATCGGAGCACCCCCACATGCCAATTCCGGCATATTGACCTACCTTGATGCCTTTAGGATCTCAAAGTATGTGTTTCCCTTCTTGCACCTGCAAGCCTTAGGATCCCCCCCTGCGCTTGCCTCCTGTGATGTGGATTCGAAACCACCACAGAACCGGCATTTTCAGCACGGCATCGAAACAGCCACCACGACGCTCAGGGATTTTATGATTCTGCTGGATCTCTTCATTGTCATGTGCGGTTGGGTTGAGAAGATCGTTGACTCAATTGAGGGTCATGGCCTGGGCTTCAACATTGCAATGCTACGAGCCTTGCGGCTAGTGCGGATCTTCCGACTCATGCGCTTGTTGCCACTTGGCAGCCGTGATCTCTTGGACGCCGGACGTCACTTTGGTGACAGGGTGACCCTCCCAAGTGGTTTTGCCAAATTGCTGATCTAAAAGTGACCCTGTTGCCTTATAGGTAGACGTATGCATGCACACCATTGATTACACCAAGAGACAGACAGCGACAGAGACGAGAGAGCGGAGGGGTCGCCGGACCAAACAACGTTTGAGACGGACCCGACCCTCTTGGACGGACAAAAAGGCCGCGACCTGGACCCTTTCAGGAAGCGCGTCCGACCGTTGAGGGAGTTGCACAAGCTGGTCATGATGATGGCCACATGCTTCCGGACCTTAATCTGGTCCTTTTTGCTTTGCTTCGTCGTGATGACCGTTTGGGCGATGCTTTTGGTGGAAGTGGTTCACCCCGCGTTGCAGGACGTTAACGGGGAAAACGGGGCCTGTGTGCGCGGAAACGACGCAACCAGTGCGCTGAACGCGTCCTGGTTCCAGGTACAGTCTATAATTGCTAAAATAGCTAAAAGGATTACTTTTTAAGAATACACTTTTGACATCTTGCCGCATTTGTTTTTCAATAATGCAGCCCGGAAAAAACGACATTGCAAGCAATATTCAACGAAATGGCCACTTGATACGCATTGATGTGGGTGGGATGGGCAGCTGGCTCCCTTGTTTTTTGGAGCAGCCTCTAGCGGTTGTCGGGTGGCCTGACCACGTTTCGCTGGTTGTCAAAAGAATCATTGGTTGGCAGAAGCGGGTTGTGACTTTTGCGCGGAGACACGAAGACACGCGAAGACACGAAGACACGCGAAGACACACGAAGACACGCGAAGACACACGAAGACACGAAGAGGCTTCAGGTCTTCAAAGCTTCAGGTCATCACTAGGCATCAGGTCTTCAAGGCTTCAGGTCGTCACTAGGCTTCAGGTCTTCAAG